CCCGTCGCACAAGGGCGGCCCGCGCTGCCGCAGCTTCAGCATCGAGAGCATCCTGGCGCACGGGCTGCGGCAGAACCCCGCCGGGGCCGCCCCCAAGGCGGCTCTCGAGGGCCCCGTGGGCTGTTTCGGCGGCTCCCTGGTCGCCGGCGGCAGCTTCGGGCCCGCTTTCAACGCCTCGCTCATGCTCGACTCCCAGGTGCACGGGAGGCTTTATCACATCGGCATCCCCTTCCTCTCCTGCCTCCCCCTGCACTTCTCCGAAACGGTATTTAATTTCCAGTAGTTTCCCCCATAATTGTGCTCCCCCTCCACTCTAGTCGCTGCTCCCGGCCCGGGGGCAGGATGGAAGGGAGAGACCGGACTCAGACCTCACCAAGCGGGTAAAGACCAAAACATGATGTTAAAGGTGACTCAGGATTTCAGGGCATTTTGGAGGCACGTCGTGCTGCGGAGCTCTCTTTAGCCATTGCCTCCCCCGCCAGATCGGCTTTTTGCAGGTAAAACGTTTTTCCTTTCCCGTCGGGGATGGAGCAGCAGGATCCCACGCTCGCCTGGGTCCTCGCCACGTCTCTTCTGCAGGTTGAGTCTTGGCATCCGTCAGGTTTTCCAGCCCTGCTTGCGGCCGAGCCTCTCGCCTCTCTTGCTTTTCTTCCCTTTTCCATGGATAACCAAACCCGCCCCTTTCATCCCTGCGGGAGAGGGGCCGGGGGAGGAGGAGGGGGCTGTGTTTTGTCTCGCCACGGATGCCCGCGGGTGATGCCCACAAATACGTGGTGGCCGGGATGAACGGAGCGAAAATAAGGGCGGATGAAATAAGCGGTTTTCCCGAGCATCCTGCTTGCTTTGACCGGCAGTTGTGCTCCTGGAGCATCGCGACAGCATTTCTGTCTCGTTGATGTGGCTAAGCAGAGGGAGGGGGACGGGCCAGCACACCCACGGCTTGGACGGGGAGAAGCTGCCACTTTCCATGTCTTGCTGGGACCAGTTACGTCCCCCCACGCCGCCAAGGGAAAAGGTGGATGTAGGGTCGTGGAAGCTGATCCTGGCATTTTGGAGTAGCTGTCTTGGCAATCCAGGAAAAGAAGAAAAAAAGAGAAAAGAAAAAAAATAATGAACAGAAATGAACTATTTTTTTTCTTTCTTTCCTTCTTTCTTTTTATTTTTCTTAAAGGAGGAAGAATGCAGACACATTATAAGCAAACGGGAATATTTCTTATTTCTTTTTGCCATAAATAGATTCTTTTTGTATATTAGTGGATAAATGCCATTTTGGGAAAAAAATCTATATTCTCAATTTTCTCTCTGACACCACACCTATATCCAATAAAAGTATTTTGTGCAGTACTGCAGCTGATTCATTCTGGGCTCACATTGGCCTCCACACCTGGGCAGTTGGGGCAAAGGATGTCCCTGCAGAAGCTCTAATGCAACAGGGAGCTGTGGGGGACTTGAAGGGACAAACACCCCAGCAATGATGCAAAATGATGCAGCACTTGGCAAAGAGCTGTGAGCAAGTGCAGGGTGGGAAGCGGGGCTGAATTTCCTGCAGGAAAAATGCTCATAGATGGATGAAGAGTGAGTGGGGGGTGTTTTGCCCAGGCAGAGCCACAGGTGCCCCCACTGTGATTTACAGGCTGTGCAGGTGCTGAGAGGGTTAATGTTCCTTGCTTCAAAATCCCTCACTTTCGCAGTGCCACTATGCAGTCAGACAGGTATTACAGCAAGTTAAACAAATAGTCACGTTGTGAGGAGGTTCTGAGTGGATGCTTGGGGGAGGCACCACGAGTTCCTTTGTAGTCCGGGTGGGAACATCACTTATGGGAAGAACCAGGGGTAGGGAAGGGAAAAGGCCTTTCTTGGCTGTGAGGGACATGGGGGCTAATCCTCCAAGGAGGATTAACCTGTCAGTTCTTCCTTTTCTCCTAACTCAGCACCCCAGTTGTGTCTCCCCACCTTCAGAAGCCCTCATATCCCATCGCATCCCCCACCTACCTGTTTGGAGCTGCAGCCTTTTCTGCCCTTGCAGGTGTATCCAAGAGCCCAGGAGGAACAGGGAACACTGCAACCGCTTCTGCCATCCCTATCTCCTCCTCAAGGGGAAGGAAGAGATGGCTCTTCGTATAGATGAGAAGCTCTTAGTGGCTTAAGGCAGATCTTTGCCTTTTGCAGATATCCCAGAAAGACCAGGCTGTGCCCAGCTCTTTCTTTCTGTTGGAAAATCCCTCCTCCTTTCAAACCACTGAAGCCGCTGGGATCCTTGTGCAAGGTTGCACAAATTAATTTTGTGTTGTTTACAGGGCTACTTCTTATCTTGTGCCGGGTCTCCTCATTTTTGCACTGTGGTGAAAAAGAAAATAATAAAAAAGGAATGACTGAGTAGCTTTCTCACTTTCTTTAGGCTCAGATCAAGAATAAGCAAATCATCTGAAGGAAGGCAACTGAAAGTGGGGTTTCAGCTTGTCTGATGCATGATGTATGTTTTTGTCACAGACATGTTTGTTGAGATTCAACTCTCTTTTCGATGCGACGCGAGTTTATTTTCCATGAGGCTTTGTTTATGGTGACATTCTATTTTATTTCTGTTTTGTCCTAGCGGGACGGAACCCAGCACAGCTGCAGTATTTAAAGACCACTCTGGGCCTGATTTTGGTTTCACTTACAGGAGCAAAATTAATAGGCTTTGCACAAAGGTGACACCAGCTTGCATGAACTTGGAGCCAAGTAGACGGTTCTGAGTGGCAACTTGGAGTGAGCTGGGAGCAGGCGAGCAGTGGGACTCAAGGAGGACAAAATCTGAGGAAAAAGGGTCTTTCTGCCAGCATGCAGGCTGAGTAACCACACTCTGCTTTAGCACATCATCTGTTTACAAACAGAACAGCACAAGTAATGGTGCAGTGAGACCGAGAGCGCATCGGCACGGAGAAATAAGTGGATGTGTCAAAACGCTGGGACCTGTCTCTTGAGTCTGATTGCACATCCCTTATCCCTCTGTGGAGCCGCAGCTGCAAACTCCAGTGCGGTGTCGTGCAAAACAGGCATCAGGTGAATGTAAATGACTTGGCAAGTGCAGGAATTCACCCTCATTGCTTTCACACCTGCTCCGTAACCAAAAAAGCAATAGCCAAACGCAAAATTTCCACCCACTATTTAACTCATCCCCAGAATCTTCCCGCTGGCTTTCCCAAGCTCTCTGGCTCAGCTATAAACGTAAGCATGAAATACTGTGAAGGGGAATAGAAAATAGCTGGTGATGCAGTAAAAACAGCTCACTCCTTGTGTGGGCGAGACATACTCGTTCCCATTCCACCGGAGAGCAATGACCTATCCCAGCGGAGCGAGGTGGCACGTCTCTGAGTTATGTAGCCAATTTTAACTTGCTGGAGTGCAGAAGTGCCTGTTTGCTTGAAGTTGGCCCCATAGCCCATAAAAAAAAAATCAAGTATTTATGTGTGCGCAGAAGCTGCTTGCAGGGGCTGTCACTGCGCGTGTCTGTGTCTGCTCTCCAGGTGACATAATTTAAGGGTTTTTTAAGAGTTACTTCTTTCATCCTTTCCCAAGAAAGGTGTATAATGGGGAGAGCATCTCCTTTCACACCCAAATCTCTGCTGGGTTTGTGCTAATCGCTCTTAAGCCTGCTGCAAAGAGCAGCCAAATCCAGAAACGAGAGGGGGAGAGGGATCTGCTACATTACTTGATTCGTCCCCCTGCACACACAGAAAACAGGTCCTCTGGGAGATAACATTTTGGATATTAAACAGATCACATATTTGATTTTAAGTGAAAGACCAAGAAGACGAGATCACAGAATTAGAGAAGTTACAGATGGAAAAGGTCTATGAGGTTATGCAATTCATCAGTCTGGACATTGCATAATTGCTCCCTGCAGTATATTTTTAGTGCTTTATCCAGACAAATCATTAAGTGCTTTAAAACGGGCCAGATTCCTCAAACTCAGTGCGTGCTAAATCACAGCTGATTTCTCAGAGGCTCATAGCTTGCAAGGTCTAATAAAAGACCAGAATAAAATTTTGTGTGGTCAAGGAGAACAGAACTGGCTCTTCTGAAAATAAACACCATTCTGATTCTGTATTCCTTACAGGAGTCTTTCCTAAGTTGGCTGAATTAGATCTCTCAAATCTCATTTTCAGATTCTACTGCATAATACATTATTGCTAATTCAGATGTTCACTTAGTCCAAAGTAAAACATTGTTAATGTTCATGTGAACGCAATTTGTTTTAACCCAGCTTCAAAGCCAGTTCAGTAAAGCGTAAAGAATGTTTATTTAAAATATAGTTGCTAAATTTAGCATGAGCTTGGTTAGCTTAAATCTTAGCGACATTTTTAGAGAGCACATTGCGAATCAGGAATGCATGGAGAAATAAATAAACTTTCCCACATTTTTGGAAATCAAGTAAGAATTTGCAAGTTGTTTCTTGCACGGGCAATTTCTAGGGATCGGAAAGCATTATGAATAATGCAAATTTCCCATCAGACAGCATTTTAAAACACAATAGTAATAACTTTCATTGCAATTTCAACAAAGCTCCCTCGAGGACAAAGCGACACTAGCAGCAGTCCACTATTGTCATCAGAGTTATGCAGAGCATTAGCATAGTTCAATATTTACACACGCTCTTTGCAAAGCCCTGAGAAGTACAAGGGAGCTGCAGCTGGCGACAAGCCACCTTCAAACTGAGCACAGGAAATCTTGCATTTGAATGAGGTGCTGGGCTATTGCTGCTGATGGTGGGACCAGAGCTCGCGGCCACCCCTCGTGCCCATCACCGCAGCGCCCTGGCTGCCGTGAAGGCATCTCTGGGACCCGGGTTTTTCCTGCACTGGCCCACGGCAGTCAAAGCTCACCTGGGGACATGGGCACGAGATCAGAAATGTGGTGGTTTATACTAGCTCATGTTTACAGCCCCGGAGCAGCTAAACAGGGCACTTGGCATTGTGCAATGACCTCATTTACATTGTGGGCATCTAACTCAGCTGTATGGCCTACGAAGCAAGGCTGCCTAATTGAAAATTATGGCACCCTATCCCCTTAGAGGGAAGAGAGATGATTTTTAAAGCCTTTCCTTTCCTTTCTTCTTCCTCCCAGCGTCACCTTCCTGAGGAAAAGAGGCACATCTGGGACTTCTTGATACTGTATGACCTGTATGGCCTACGAAGCAAGGCTGCCTAATTGAAAATTATGGCACCCTATCCCCTTACAGGGAAGGCAGATGATTTTTAAAGCCTTTCCTTTCCTTTCTTCTTCCTCCCAGCGTCACCTTCC